AAAAAACCCGCGACTTTCTTTAATAACCCGCGACAAAACCCGCAACTTTCGTTAAAAACCCGCGACCAGCGCGCAAAAAAAAACCGCGACTCGCGAATAAAACCCGCGACCCGCGACAATTAGATTATTTCTAAATTGTGTCTTGTTTTAGTTTATAACTCATATCTTGAGTTTGTGAGATAGCATTAATACTCGGAGTATGTTTTTTCTCTGTTTAAGCTGAATCAAAGACATGGTATTTCGCTTTTTTTCAACGATGTTTTCTTTCATAGGCAGGCTAACATGAAAGCATTGTGATTATGGCATTTTTGACTTTATTTCCTCTTGCGTGTTCTAGATTAGAAATAAACGGCTGGAACACTCATCAACTCAAGGGGTAGATTCAAGGCTACTCAAGGGCACACTTCCAAGATCTTCATGTTCCTGTTTACCTGCTGGGATTCCCAGCAGCCTTTCGCGCTCGTAATCGACTTTTCCGCTTTGCTTGGGGGACAACCTTAATTGAAATAGCTGTATATTATATGAACCTAACAACACGAATGTAAATAATATCATAGCTACCTCGATCGAAATCCTTTGTCTCGCGAGATGCGATTGATGCGATTACACAAAACAGGAGCTAAGCACGATATGGAAAATTACAGACCGATATCTGTTATTTCAATTATAGCGAAGATCATGGAGAAACTGATACATAATCAATTATATGACTATCTTATAGCTTCAAACCTACTAACAAATTCCCAACACGGCTTTAGACCATGTCATTCAACAACCACAGCTCTATTAGATATTACTAATAGATGGTACCAAAACATGGACGTAGGACAATTAAATGGAGTTGTATTTTTAGATTTAAAAAAGGCCTTTGATACTGTTGACCACGACATTCTTCTAAAAAAATTTATGGCATAAAAGGCATGGCACTCTGTTGGTTGCGATCATATCTATCAGACAGAATCCAATATTGTCAAATAAATGGTCACCTGTCAGATCCCCTAACCGTGAAGACCGGAATACCACAAGGCTCGGGATTAGGCCCATTATTGTTTTTGATCTATATTAATGATTTTCCAAAATGTTTAAGACACACTAGACCAGATATGTTTGCCGATGGCACCCAAATTGCAACATCTAATAGCGATATCAATGTGATCTTAGAGAATCTTAACACAGATTTAATAAATGTTTCGACTTGGATGTCAGCTAATAAATTAACTTTGAACAATAAAAAAACGGAGTTCATGGTTATAGGTAGCAATAAGCGACTTGGCCAAATAGTCCAAGAACCCTCAATTTGTGTGAGAGGCAAAGAGATTAAAAAGGTTAATACAACCAAGTCGCTTGGCCTAATGATTGATGATACTTTATGCTGGTCGGCCCAAGTTGAAAAAATTACAAAAAAAGTTAACTCGGGACTCAGCATTATTAGAAGACTGCGGGATATTGTTGATTATAATACTTTAATAACTGTTTATAAATCAATAATCCAACCACACTTTGATTATTGCTCACAAGTTTGGGGTTGCCTAGGAAATGTTTTATCAGATAAACTTCAGCGTCTCCAAAATAGAGCGTTTCGTATTATTACCCGTGAAGGATATGAAACGCGATCAAAAGATATTCTAATCAGGGCAGGATTTTCAGATCTGCAAACAAGAAGGGAACAACAATTGCTACATTAATGTATAAGATTAAACATAAAATGCTTCCAAACTACCTGCAGGATATTTTCATCAATACGCAAGAAGTCCATAATCATAACACTAGGCATACTGAATTTAATTATACATTACCAATGCCAAATACTAATGCTATGAAAAAATCATTGGCCTACAGAGGTGCAGAGACTTGGAATGCTCTCCCAATTGACCTGAAGTCGTTAGGAAGTATAGCAACTTTTAAGAGTGGGGTAAAACAATGCAGATTGATATAATGTTAAGTTATCACAATTTCCGTACTATAAATTCCACTACATGATATGATTTATGGAGTGTATGCATTGACGTTCTAACTGTCTATGCATGACTTTGTAACTAATAAACTTTTAGTTTCAATTGGATACTTAATATTTGTAAATTATTTCACATTACTATAGATATACTAATAATATAATATAATAGTTATATATATAGTTTTATTGCATGTATTTAGACGGTTTATTAATTTATTCGTATTAGCTGGACTAAGCTGCATGCTGCATGCAATGAATTAGGGCTATGGCTCTCTTACTATTTATCAGTGGTAATAAAGTGATTGAAACAACAAAAACAACGGCATGTCATACAGATTTTACAAAAGAAGTAGTTTCCTTTATACAGCAAATAAAATGACCTTGTAAAACAAAAAGACGCTTTGTTAAACAAAAGGCATCTTTGTTTCACCACCTGCATGCTAACAACAAACTTACAGCCACTGGAAGTGGCGGGGAAAAGTTCAATATTTTTATAAACTGTTTCGCAAAGATCGTTACTTTTAACGTTAAAATCCAGGGATTTGTTGTAAGTATGCTCCATGAAAAATCATTGTTTCTAATCTAGAGCACCGTAACAAACTAGCACTGCATGTTAAGAAACGTTTAAAACTTTTCTGTAAAACGTACGTGGCTCGCAGCATTCACGTGTGATTCGCATGTTTTGGGTGCCTCGCACTTTATGCAGACCCAAAAAGAACACGATATCTCTCTAAAGATTCCAATACTACATATATAGCTACAATATTGCGAGTTTGTGCGACATCCTGTCTGTAAGAATAGAGACATCCTGTCTGCAAGAATTGAAACTCTTTGACGCCCTTTTTCTGATCAAAGAAAATTAAAAACAAAATACTATATAGCTTTTATTTTAAAAATAAAACACTTTTAATGTGTAAGTTTTAAATAGAGAATAATACATGGGTGCGCGGAAATACCAGATTTATTTCGAGTGTTATAAATCTGGTATTTCCAAGCACCCATGTATTTTTCTGTTTATTATATAAAGAACAGTCTTTGAAAAGCGATAATTTTTACAGAAAAGCGATAATTGAAAAGCGATAATTTTCACATGTGAGATTATCATGAATAATCCCCCCCCCC